ATGAAATTAGAGATGGAACAAGGTTTTGATGGTTTGTGGGTTGTTTGAGCATTTTCTCTGTGACAACTGGAATCACTGCTGTCATGGTGGGCCTCTAGTGTTCTTTCCACTGCATTGGTGGGCAGGATGATAACAATGATAAAGTTGAAATCTTGGACTATTGTAACACGCTCTACAAGAGGCTACTTCTGAACACTATTCAGAAACCACAACAGGTGCAAACTGCATTGGCTTACTGCTGAAGGGTAACAGCTGTTCAACAAGATAATGCCTATATTGCAGACACTTTAATGATTATTAGCGGATGCTTGGATAGAATTCAAAGCTCTAGTTATTGCTTATACAGCTCTTCCTGACTCACATCACATTCTAGGTATTTGAGTTACCATTTGCTCCAAGCAGATTTGCCCATTTTGTATATTCATGCAAGGAGGTTTGCTACAGATTTTTAGAGTCTGAGAAATAAGAAGAGTCTGAGGTCTGGACTAGTATTTTATATTAAATATAAATAGGGAAAATACAGTGGAAGTGATTAAGGCACATCCTGGATTGGTTATTTGTGAAACGTTCAAGCTAGTCAATCCTGAGGAAGATGAAAGGGTCTTTACTGCTGTGAGCTCTGCCACCTGTAGTCTGGACTTATACCCCCTATGGTTAAGGTTTCCTGAGAGGTGGCACTTGCTTGGGTAAAAGGTGTGGTAAATGTCTCCTAGCAGGAAGCAGTGGTTCCTTAGCCTTGAAATAAACAGGGGTTTACCCTTCCTTTAAGACATACATGTCAAACTCGCGACGTCACGTGTTGCGCAATATATCGGGCTGGTTTTGCCATTGCCGGCAATGGGGTGGGCACGGCTTCCAGATGACGCGTCCGATCCGCGGGCTGGCAGTTTGACACCCCTGCTTTAAGAGATTATTCTGGCCAATAATCTGCCATTCCACAAAATGGAAAGTCCTAAAGTCAGGCATCAAGCTACAGGATCATATGGGGCAATACTTAAGTACTGCTCAGAAGGGCACTAGAAACCAGGGCTTTTCAACCTTTTCACCCATTGTACCATTTTTAGGATATGGCAACATCCGAGTACCACCAAACCACAGCCGAGCAAGACACCTGCTTGCCCGCCCGGCGGCGCTCTTCCTCCTGTCCGAGGTTTTCATTGTTGTGAGCATTTCTGTTGAGGATTGGCAGCGGGGGTGGGGTGGGGGTGGGTGTTTGGTTTTTATTCCCCCATCTCTGGGTGGTTGCAGCAGATTTTGGTCATTTCACATGACCCTGGGACACTGTGACTGTCATAAATATGAATCAGTTGCCAAGCATCTGAATGTAAATCACAAGACCCTGGAGATGCTGCAACATTCCAACTGATCAGCGTTTCTTCTGGGCTCAGCAGTAGCGTCAGGATCAGTGTTGCTTTCCAGCTGATTGGTGCGTCTTCAGGGCTCAGCAGAAGCACCAGGATCAGTGCCGAGCTCCAGCTGGAGACTGGCGCTGATCCTGGCGCTTCCCCTGAGCCCTGACAGCCCTGAAAAAGCGCCGATCAGCTGGAAAGCGGCACTGATCGTGGCGCTTCCGCTGAGCCCTGACAGCCCTGCAGCTCCAGCCATCTCTCGCTCAGGCTTGTGCTGCCACCGGCTCAGCTCATTCCCCTCCCCGGCTACCACTTTTCTAGGATGGTCACGTACCACCTGCTAGGTGCCAATGTACCACAAGTGGTACCCGTACCACTGGTTGAAAAGCCCTGCTGGAAACACACCAGGGACTCAATACCAATTGCTCATAGATAGGGCAATCACCAAGACTCAAGATCTAAACAAATTAAAGCACAGTCTGGACTGACTATAGGAAAGCATGCAACTCAATGCCACACACATGGATCTATGAATGCCTGGTACTATACATAATCAATAGAACACTAAGGACCATTCTCAATAACTCAATGGGATTGTGGAAGACAACACTGGAAGTCAACTCAAGACAGCTTCCACAAGTGGCCATCAAGTACAGCATATATCAAGGTGCTGCACTGTTCCCGCTGCTGTTCTACATAGGCTTGACCCCGTCAGCCAAATAATGATAAGTACTAGGGTACAAGTTCAAGAAATGGGTACCATCAGCCTCCTCTGTACAGATGATATTAAATTGTATGCTAAGAATCAATGAGACATGGATCTATAGTCAGGACATTGGGATATCATTTGGACTGAAGATGTATAGCTGGATGGTAGTTAAGAGAGGAAAGGTAGGTATGACTGATGGGGTAAAACTACCAGTGTATCACATAGCAGACAGACAGATCAGCTATAAGTACTTTGGGAATCATGGTGAGGAGGCAAGGAAAGCAGCAATATCCAACTACCACCAAAGGATAAGACAGGTCAACATGCATGAACTGCCAGTCATCAGATACCTTGCTGGTATAGTGAGCTGACCAAAGAAGGACATGGATGCAAAAACCTGGAATCTCCTTAGAATATATAGAGATTTCCAATCCAAGTCCAGCAGCCAGAGACTATACACCAGCTGAATGGAGCTTGGTGAGTGTCAAAGACACTGTCCTGAATGAAACCAGGAGCATCCAGTAAGTACATCAATAAGATGGCACCCAAAGATGAACTGCTGAGAGAATGCATGAGGTAGCAGCAGGCATGGAGAAGATCAAGCGGAGGAAGTACCAAGACAAGACCCAGCATGGAATGTACCACTGACAGATACCTAAGGTGGTTCGAACTGGGAAATCCTACCAGTGGTTGGAAAGACAACACTAAGGCATGAGATCCATAGATCAGCACACTAGACAGTAGTACCGAAGGTACAGATTTGAGAGGCCTCAGAGACAGTCCAATCAATACATAGTGGCAGAGTGTAAGATGCAGGCAGGAGCAACATATACTGAACAGCACAACCAAGTACTTGGCATTGTGTACAGGAACACCTACACAGTGTATGGGCTAGATCCTTCCAGGGCCAGATGGAAGATTCCACAGAAGGTTATGGAGAAGAACAGAGTTAAAATACTTGGGACTTCCAGATCCAAATGGACAAGATGGTACTGGTGAACAAAACAGACATCATCGTAGTAGACAAGGACCAGAAAAACAGTGGTGCTAATAGATGTAGTGGTGCTAAGTGACAGGAACATTAGCAAAGAGCTGGAAAGTACCAGGGCCTGAAGGAGGAATAAGAGAAGACATTGAAAGCAAAGGCCAAAGTGGTAGGAGCACAGATGCGTGTGACTCTTAAGCTGTGTGTGTGTAGACAGACAGAGAGACAAGACAAAATTTAATTTCAGGGTGTCCTATACGTATAGAAATTTTTAAAATGTTCAGATTTCAGTGAAAGATGATAGCATTGGTATCTCTTTATTGTTCGTTAGATTTATATTTGAGCTTTATTTTGAATAAATCAAGGCAGTTTTCCCTTACAAAAACCTTATGGGATGATTGGACTAAGATAAAATAATGGGTTCAAAGTCACTCAGTTAATATATGTTTAACATTCAGGTAGCTTTTCAAAGCCGATAGAAACTGAGCTGTTCTTTTTCTGCCATGTTTTCATGTGATATGAAGGGAAATTTATTTCATTCTATTTCAGGGTAGGTAATGTTTTACTGTACAAGTTATGTTTATCTTTTTGTACACTGCCGAAAGCCTGGTGATATTCTACTGATTCTTACAATTACCTCTGACTAAACAACCTAATTTTGTTCTAAATTTTCAGTAGAAAACCATCTAAAAGATCTTTATCCCAGATTCCAAATCAAAGTGCAGGGAGCTCTAGCCTTTATACCAGGGGTAGTCAACCTTGGCTCTTTTATGACTCGTGGACTTCAACTCCCAGAATTCCTGAGCCAGCTAAGCTCAGGAATTCTGGGAGGTGAAGTCCACGAGTCATAAAAGAGCCAAGGTTGACTATCCCTGCTTTATACATTGGACATATGTAGGTATGATGAGATAGCAACAATAGTTTTGTGAAATTCTCCCTCTGGAAGCTGAGCAGAATTGCCTTTCCACTATTTAATGCATTTCTGTTCTAAAGTGTTGGCTAGTTTAACACTTTTTTTTTGAGCTTGATCTGAAAAGCAGAGACTATATTTAATAATAATACAAAGGCAAAATATTTATTAAAACTAAAACAAAGAAGAATGATTTAACAACATTCAAGTTTCCCTTATTTATAACTTTTCTTTGTACTAGTTTTCTTTGGAATCATGTGACAAATGCTTTGGGGCTGTATCCAATGACAGAATAGTTTCCATCAGATAACAAATAGGGATGAGTCCACTTCAGCATTCTGCTGTGCCTTGACAAATGCTCTGAAGCATGAGATCATCCAGGGAGAGAAAGGGGTAGATATTTGCTTGTATGGTATTGAAGAAAAATATATTTGAAGCATTTTAAAGGTGAACTATATAAACAGCATACAGTACATAAAATGTGAATGGTAATGCTTTTAAAAAGAACTATCAATCTACCAGAATGAAAGAGCAAAATGACCTTCAAAAAACTTGTTTCACAAGAACTATTTATCCCCATGGTGCACGGTACCATCTATATTTTTTTTAAAAAATCTGCAGAAATGTTACAATGAAAATTTGTCTCTAAAGCATACTCTTAACACAGTTAAATTATAGATTCACAGATTAAACTGGAAGTATTCTGAAATGGATATATATAAGCAACTGAATGCTTTTCTACAATTATATCTAAATAGGAAAGAAACATTGATTCTTTTCTTTTACTTCAATTAGCACTTGACAATCATTGTCAAACTCTTATCTACCCCTAACTTTAAAGGGCTAAAATCCTTAAGTTCCAGAACAGCCTAGCCCAGGGGTAGACAACCTCGGCTCTTTTATGACTCGTGGACTTCAACTCCCAGAATTCCTGAGTCAGCATAGCTGACTCAGGAATTCTGAGAGTTGAAATCCACGAGTCATAAAAGAGCCGAGGTTGCCTATCCCTGGCCTAGCCTGTAACCTCCTCCCAGACTGTATACTTACATTCTTCTTTGCTCAAAGAAGTTACATTCAGTTCTGTCGAAAGTTGCTGGTTGGAGTTAACAGTCTGTGTCAATAGAGAGGTATTACTGTTGTCACTATTTGTTTCTCCAGAGAACAAATCCGATTGGCTGTTACTTGTGCTGGGAGTGGACTCATCATCTGGTTGCTTCTTTTGAAAATCTAACACGACACAAAGTTAAAGAAGTGTTACAAGGCCAGAAAATACATTATGCAATATATAAAATATTATATTTTACACAGAGGTTACGAATACTTGCAAATGAGTGAAAGCTAGTTATACTCTTTCTTTCTCTGCAAGAGATATTGTGACTCAATTCAATGAGCACTATTCCATTAGAAAGGTCAGCTTATATATTTAACAAGTATTTAAAAATAGAAATAACTGTGTAGTAAATCATTAAATGGTACTAAATGTGCTATTTTATTGAAAATTCTTAAGTGGCAATGAAAATTGTTCTACTTTAGTTAATTGTTTTGAAAACAGCTGAACTGTTCTGTAAGGCAGAAAACATCATTTGTGCTCTGAACTGACTTTATCACCAATTAATGTCATTTCAAATTACGGATTTCTTCATATTGTATTCCTTGAAACTTTAGGTCATGGGTTTAGGAAATGTTTAAAATGTATTTGTTTTACTTAATTTTTTTTAAACAATCAATTAAATCCATGTGTTCTATACTCAACGAGGACAACACGATTACTGTAGCTTTCTATGAACTTGCATCCCATTATTTTATTATGAATATGCTATCTTTAGAGTTGTGTTCTTTTAGAATCTATCCAGAGACTTGTCAGTTTAGAAATATCTATTCAACATCACAGTATTTTCTGATTAAAACATCCTTGTTCAGACCTTTGGCCAACAATTAACAATTTAAGTAGTTTTGAATGCCTTTAAATTCTCAAATATTTCTCTAATTTATGCAAAGTTTTATGGGCCGAAATTGACATGTTCACCAATTCTACTATATATAATCCGTATTAGAATTTGACAGACTCCTAGGAGCTCACAACAGACATCATAGCCTGGAGCTGAATAGGAATCAAAGGAAGAGTGCTAGGATAGCAATTCCCTAGAACAGTGGTTCTCAACCTGTGGGTTGGGACCCCATTTGGGGTCGATCGACCATTTCACGGGGGTCGCCAAGCAAGGCTGTCCGCCATTTTTTTTGTCCGCCATTTTTTTTGTCTGCCATTTTTTCCCCTTTTCCGGCGGGTGCCCTACCTCCCTTGGGCTGGGCCAGCTGGTGGTCGGCCTGCTCCGTCTCTGCCGCTTGCCAGCTACGCCTCGGCCGGCGCAGGGGGCAGAACCACGCATGCGCGGCGCTCCCGGGCAGGGAAAGTCCTCGACTTACGACTGGTTTAGTCCTCGACTTACGACCGGTTTAGTCCTCGACTTACGACTGGTTGGGGTCGCGGCATTAAAAAGGTTGAGAACCACTGCCCTAGAATCTCCCAGGGGTGAGATTCAGAGGTGAGAGTACTAAAAAATTAGTCTGTCAAGATTCTATCTACTGGATGTAAGCAAACAAAGAACTGTACTTTGGTTGGATTATTCTATGTCATTCTTGGGTTGGGCCTGACACATGGTCTTCAAAAAGTAGAATGCAACAAAATATGTATTTACATATCAACAGAAATAACAAAGATAGAACAAGGCAATGTTCATTACTAGTTTGTCCACTATAACCTAGAAAACCAAGCAAGTTACACCCAGTTATTTTTGTTTAAAAAGAAATTAACGCAACTGAAATTGTTTCAGGGTTATCTTTCCTGCAATAAAATCTGAAGACCATACCAAAGGAGAAATAACAAAATTATAAAACTTTTTTGCTAATACCATCAGAAGTACCATTCTTCTTTAAAATGAAAAACCATACATGTTAAAGCTTACTTCCATTTGTAAACCTCTTATGTGTTTTTTCTTTCATGCACAAACTTTTATATTACTTTATTAGGGAACTACATTGGAAAAATTGAAATAAAAATGGGGGGAAGGGAATTGCGTGCAATTTTGCTTGTAAATTTGAGAAATGCATATTAGATCAGCTTATATTAAATGCAACCAAGACACAAAAATGTGCTCAGATTCATCTGTTGTTTCTAGCAGTAGCAGCTGAGCTGTACTGAGTTTTCAAGTGGACACCCCCCCTCCCCGAAATCCACCTGCTTCACATTTGCAAAAATGTGTATACATGACTACAGCGAGCTGCCTGTTTTCATTTTCTTTTACCTCTCCTTAGCAATTTTAATCAGTACAGAAACACCCAACTGCATTTATTTAGTATTTAAACAAATCTCCACTAACTTTCCAGGTTAAAAGAATCTTCAGCTGGTATCACACAGAGAAATCTCAGAAGTAGGCTTATGAACTGATTGATACAGAATTTAATTATACTTCATTCAGAGAGCATGTGGAATTGAGTATTATTGTAATAAAAAATCCACAATCAATTAGTATCTCTTGTAATGCTAGCAACTTTACAGCCCTCACTTATATGTCCTTAAAGATGTCTACAGAGAACTCTAGAATTTAGGAACATGGGTCTATTATTTTTAATTAATTTCTTTAGACCACCACCTGAGTTTCAATTAGAGCTTAAGTGCAGCTAATTTTCATAAACTAAATTCAAAACACTTTCAAATGTTTGTCTCAAAAAAGTGAGGGGAGAATTCTAATTAGAACAATGTAAAATATACTTTGAAATAAGCCTTCTAGAATATAACAAATAAAAGAAGATAGGTTAACCATTACAGACTTCAAAAACATGAAAAGTATTAAGAGCAGCAGCATATTTTCAAAAGCTGCTTAGTGGTGACATTAGTTTTTTTTAAAAGTTAATATTGATGATTTTTAGTTTGTCTAAAACCTAAAAGTAATTTAAATTCCATATCAGTGTAGCAACTGATTAAGAGATTTAGTTTCCTAGCATATATTTTCTTACTGCTATATGTCTGGAGGTGTGATTTTTTTTGGGAAAGAATTAATGTTGTGACAGGAAGAGGGAACATCTAACAGCTTAACAAAAGAAAATGAATTCATTATGTATAATATAAAGAACAGGCCTTGCACACATTCACAGAAAAATAAAATATCAAATTAATGAGGTAACTAACACTCCTAAGAATTTTCTACAAACCTCAATGTTAATACCTTCCAATAGGGAGGGATTTAGCATGTTTATTTAATTCCCCTTTTGCTTTTTAACTTTTATATAAACTTCTGAAAAAGTTTATCTGTGCTACTATATACAGGTGACATTTTGTTTCTTACAGAGGTAGCAACCCTTGCTCAGTTTCCTTCCTATATTGATTCTATTAATCAAAACCCTAACACAGGGGTGTCAAAGTGCCATCATGGCGAAACTGCGCCCACCCCATTGCCAGCAATGGGAAAAAAAGTCACGATACGTCGCGACGAGTCACGTGATGTTGCAAGTTTGACACCCCTGCCCTAAGATAAATAAGTGCAATATCATGCAAGGTAATTTAAACTATTTAAATATTTAGTGTTAGAAATTTCAGGAAATATTTTATAGTTCTACCAATAGAGTCACTTGTTGAGATGGGTGGGTACAGAAATCATATAAATACATAAAAATTTGAAAGGAGGCAATTTTAGGCCTTTTATTGCCAAACATTATTAAACCAGGTCATTGGCGTAGTTTTCTATACAGAACTCAGTTAGGGTCATATTCCAGTTATTCTCCCCTTGAAATAATGCTGTCCTTATTCCTGATGCCAGTGCTTTCAAGCCCAACTGCAACCACAGTACTGCCTTCACACCGGAGGCTGGTTTACTTAAGTGTGGAGACTCGTTTAGCTAGCAATCTTTAATCTACTGATGTTTAATTTCTGGCCAATAAGTCTGGCTCCTCAAATAATCTTTGATAATTGCATTCATCCTAAAAGATGGCCTACTGCCTTTCTCAAAGGTCCATGATCTATGATCAAATTAGGATACTTCTTAAATAGCAATTCCAGAAAATTGAGTTGCAAAATAAATGAAAGCTGGTTCTTGATAAATGTTGAAGTGTATCCAATTAAATGGCATACTACCTTGGAATTGCTTGATAACTGCAAAGCATTTTCAGAAGATCAATTTAATGTTAGTTGAGCATCTTGTACTACAGGAGATTTTATAGGAAGCTACACAGTAAACGTATGTCTGCTTTAATAAACTTTGTAGACCATTTAGATGCATTCTTTCTCACCACTTTACTTGTAAACAGGTAGCCTATTGCAATCTGTCAAAATTTTGCATAGGCACATGCATAGTGTAGTAATAAATAATCAGGGGATGCTAGCAAAATTAGTAGTCCTTTTCTGATTGTTGTGTGATCTCCAATTGTTCTATGTTATTATATTTGGAATTGCTGTCAAGACATGTTAGTTCTTGCAAGTTATTTCAAGTACTGGTCTTTGGTCATAATAATACTTATTCATATGACACCCCTGTAATGCTGATGAAACATTATGTTCAGACATATCTGTCAAGCATGCCTTATGCTTTATTTGTAACATCTGTTCCTAGCTTCTGAATTCTTATGGCACAGTAGAAGAGAAGTTATCAGAGGAGACAACCTGATCATGGCTACAGAATTAGAAAGGTAAATTGACCATTTATATTCAATTTATTAAACTTAAATTTATGTCCAATTTATTGAACTTGAAACAAATTAAGCCAATTTACTTAAATTTAAAATACTTTCAAGAGGATAAAGTTCTAAATTTATGTGTTAGAATTTAAATATTTTAAGTGTTTATCAAATTTACTATTTTAGTAGCAGCTACTCCTGCCTCCGTATGGAACTATAAAAATTAAATATGTATCATTTTTGCCATACCACAATCTGATAAGAAAAGGTTATTTGCAAACATCATTAATAAGATTTGGATGACAAAAATTAATATAACTCATGACTTAATAATAAATTTTCTTACAATCAAAAATAAGATATATTAAATCAATCATATTTATCTTGTTTTATAAAAAACCAGATTCTTTCACTATGATCTATTCGGACCTTGAAATAAATAAGCTGACTGTTGTTTGATCATGCTATTTGGGGGGAGAAGTCATGAGCAAACGTCATATAAATTTGCAATATTTACTTATTCTTGTGCTCTGTTACAGTACTGAGCTTCCAGAGTTCTT